AGTTTGCAACTTGGTACTGTGCTAACTCGAAAACCTGCCGGAAAACAGTGGCTGAAATTTTGTCAAAACGTTTGTCGCCCATATGGGAAATCGTATACCTAAATTGAGTTCCGATTGGCACTTGCGCCACGACTTAGGGCACTTCGAAAGTATTTGTGGCGAAGTGGCTATTTCGTATTACCGGATAAGGTTCGAGGCTGAAACTTCTCGAGGATATTCTACTTTCATGTTTGGTCTCAATTCCGCTTGGAGGTGAAATTCCTTGCAGCTGGTTATAAGAAATACTCGACTTTACTGTAAACTCAGAAACGAGTGCATTTTGCAAATTTCATAATCCTGTTCCGATTTCCGTGAAATCTGCATTTTTTCAAAGAGCGAGCATTTACCGGGAAAACGACCGAGCTTCATGCAAAAAGCTGATAATCATATACCTGGAGATCCATGCGACACTGTAACGCAACGCTTTCATCCCAACCAAGCCCTTTTCCCTCCATGCCGGAAAATGCCGAAGCATGGCCAATATGGGTCCAGGTGTTAGGCTACAGCACAGGGACCATTCCTGCTATCAGCGATTCGCGAGTTTAGTGCAAAAGCGCATAACCACACCAGCAAGCCTGGTGCGTTTCAGCCTGGGTTCTGTTATGCTAAAACTCTATGTCTGCGCAGCTTATCAGATCTGAGGCTGCATTTCTCAAATTCTCTCCAAGACATATGAGTCAGTGTTTTCGTACAAAATTTGCGATACCTAGGAGCGGCGTCCTTTAATCTCTTGCTTCCGTAATCTTATTTCTAACAAACTAAAAATGCTGTCTAAATACTTAATGGCCTTCTAGCACTAAGATAACAATCTCGCTCTTCCACACATTTTTGCATAGGCTGAAAGAATGCGTTTTGCATAGGCCGAAAGAACGACAAAAACGTATTTAAGTATTTGTGCCTTTGTGTGTATTGTTATGTTAATATGTATGTGTGTATGTTTTTGTACCTGTCTGTCTGTCTGCTTGAGGATTCAACCTGAAAACTGTAAATGCAAGGGAGCTAGAAACATACTCTTCGAGTACGTGGTGTTGCATAATTTACCCAGCAATTCAGCAATCTCACTTCAATCCTCACGGGAGGACGGCAGCAAAATACTTTTCGATAGGAACACTACTTTCGGTGGACAGCAAAATTTTTCGCAACTGGGACTTTTCACTTCGGTAGACGGTAGAAGAATACTTGATGACCAGGCTGCCCACTTCGTTGAACGAGAGTAAATAATCGGCAACCGGGCCTACCACTTTGGTGGGTGACGGAGAAAGCACGGTAATCAGCAATATTCCTTTTCGGAAGCGTGACCCAACCACCGCCCCCGTTGAGGCAGTTCTAGCCAAAACGATTTCAGTTGGAAAAGGAGGGCACATTGTTTAGCGTCCTACCCCCAGAATGTAATACTAGATTACATTTCACAAAACAATCACTGGCGACGCGCACCAGGCGGCCCTATTCGATCATGTTTTTTGCAGTATTTCGTGCTGATGAATGATCGCTCGGAAGCCCAACAGCTAGAATTTATGAGATACTGGTCCTCGAAGTTCGGGAAGTTAATTGTGCAACTACGTGTTATTTGGACAGAAAATATTCCGTTAAAGTCCCAACTTCCCAACTTTTCTGGCTCCCTTGTTAGCAGTTTTCCCGCCAATCATGTGGCCGTACGTCACCTAGGGGCATACCCGGGGACTGAGTTTGAAGTTGTGAACATCTCCTTAAAATTTCAGCCCCCCAGCTTTCCTGGTTCCCAAGTTAGTCATTTTCCCGCCTAAATATTTCATGGGGCTGTACGCGAGAGCCACGCATACTTGGGGGTTGAATTTGATAACTTTGAGTTCTGCGTGAATGGGGAACACCCCCCAAAATTTCAGTTTTCCAGCTATTCCAGTTCCCGAGCTAGCTATTTTTCTCTCCAAAAACTCCTACGGAGCCGCACGTGAGAACCAAGCGCGCTTGGGAGATGAAATTGAATCTTTGGGTTCTACGCAAAGGAGGAATATCTCTTCAAAATTTCAGCTTTCCAGCGTTTCTAATTCTCCAGCTAGCGATTTTCCGTCCGTACGACCATGCTTCCAGCTATTCTAATTTTTCACGGGGCTGTACTTGAGTCCACACGTAACTGGGGCTGAATTTAAAATCTTTAAGTTATACACGGGCTGGGAAATTCCTCTGAGAATTTCAGTCTCCCAGCTTTTCTGGTTCCGGAATTAGCGGTTTTCCCGCCAAAACTTTCAAATGGTCGCGTGCGTAGCCAAGGCGTGCGCGAGGGCTGGTACCGTTGTCCTGAGATGGCACTTGAATTGAGGACACCAAAATTTTGATGCCGGAGCTTGCTTGGTTACCGAGTTGAAATACCCAGGCAAACGGACGGACACACATACGCACGCATACGCCGGGGTTGCTACAATATGCGTTTTTGCATTTGCATATATGCAAAAACGCATGATGAAAACTGCCGGCTGGCGGTCCAGATCCGCCTGTCGATAAGCAGTACTAAACATTTTATTAAAAAAAAAACATTCTGAGAACAGCTGACAGGTAGTCGAGACTCGCTGGCCGATAAACAGTATCACATTAATCACCTCATAAGAGCGTTAAGCCGTTTCTTCTTTTTCCGCTTTCTTTTGCTATTTGTCGCGACACATGGAGGGCTAGAAGTCCAGCCATCATCTCTCCCAGTGCTCAGACATATGAATTTAAAAAGATTTGGGCTGATGTCATGAATCGACAAAGGAAACTGCGGAATTTTAAGTGATGAATTCACGAAATAGTGCGGAGTGAATAGCTTAAGAAAGCTTTCAAATCCTACCGCAATCTAATTTGTTCTATCTCACCATTTCTGACACAGAAAAGAGAAATTAGTATATCACAATATGCATTACGCAATATGAAATGTGCTGGAATTAGCCGAACCCCGCCGTGTTCTGATCTCATAACTTCAGTTCAGGACAGACGCTTCTGCTAATGCCTTAAAGCGAAGCAAGCCAGGAAAGTTTTTTAATAGGATGCCAGATGTTTTTCGCGCAGACTCTAGTACCGCTGAATACCGTATGGTTAACTTCCTGCACACCTCATCGTACTGGTTATTGTACGTTAGGTATATACACAGTATAGTCAGTAGTAGATAAGCCAAAGCGGCACACAAGCGTATGAAAGTGTAATTTTCTTACAATCTTTTAATTTTCTTACAGTCCTGTAATGTTCTTACAGTCTTCTGTAACTGCGCGGTATTTTTCTATTGTATTAGAAGTAAAAATTTTTGCCTGATGAAATGAGTAAGTAAAACAAGAAAACAATCGGCACGGTTACTCACGTACTCTCTTTCAGATTATGCATTCATAGCTGCTCGAACTTCACATTCCCTCCACTCAGCTTTATTTTTTGTTTTGCAATAATCTAGCATCTGATCTGTGTAGCTGTTTTTAGCGCAAGTAATGAAAATAGATCAAAAGCGGGGATGTACCAAAAAGCAGAAGGCACGCCAAGTGTACACCAAATGTGGCACTGTCGAAGGTATTCGACTGCGGTCAGAGAAAGGTCCCATTGATGCTTTTCTCGGGATTCCGTATGCAAAGCCACCGACTGGTGAACTACGATTTAAGGTGAGATTACTTATCAGCTATGCAGTGGTAATTCACCATAACTGAACCTGATCTTTCGTCTGGCTCAGTAAAAGCCTGTTCAGGCCCAGTGTCATGCAAACTGAGTTAAAATGCCGACTTCAAATCTGCAATTCGAGCATATGGGACCAATACAAGAGGCTGCTGCCTGAGGAAAATTTTTCTTATCACTAGTTGTATTAAATAGTGAAAAGCTGCATTACTTAGAAGCCGGAGCCTGCAGTCCCTTGGATTGGAGTGTTGAAGTGTAAGCGATATCGAAGCCGAGCGCCACAAAATGACTTCTTTTGGGATCGACTGGATCTACGCGTCGGAAAGAACGAAGACTGCTTGTATTTGAATGTCATCGCACCTGGCTGGACAACACCGCCCGAACTTGTAATTAATTGTTTCTTTTTTTTATAAATTTTTCCATAATTTGCTAAAAAGCGTGCTTGCATGTATACATATATATATGTATATATATATATATATATATATATATGTATATATATATGCA